CCCACTCTTTCTTTCTTGATCTTCCCCCATCCTCTTCTGCTGCCAGACATTACGTTTACACTCGCGTCATATACTACTTATAAGTAGCGCGCACCACATTAGTAGTAGCGTATACGCAATGAAAATTGTGAAATTTTCCATTCATAGTAACTTTTAACGATAGGATTAAATTAAAATAATGTTCTGTCCGAGAAGAATTCAGTAGCACTTCTTTTTTAAGGTATACTCCTTGAAATCGTAAGGTTTGGTGTGTTTGTTTATTCGTGAATTTTAATTTGTCAAGATCATTTATTCATTTTAAACTGTATCCTTCATTATGTTTAATAAACATACAAGGTGTTTTTCGACATGAACTAGTACAAAATCATGTGAGGTTTTATCTTGACTAGTATAGACTGAATGATATCATCAATGAGCGAGTTCTTTTCGTTTATTTATTTGCCTAATTGCTTAACTCATTGCCCTACTACTTGTGAGTATTTTAAGTAGCATGTGATATCATCCTAATAAATTGAATTCACATAGCATTTCACGTCTCAGCATGAGAAAGCATCAGTTCAACTATTTGTGTGTACAAGACATTTTCCTGTTCATGACGATAGTGTAACAGCTTCTCTCCTGAAGTTAGTCTTTTCCATCATGCTTGTTTTCAATAAGTTTCACTTATTCTAAGAACAACTAGATGGTAGCTTCTCATTTGTTTAGCTGCTTGAAAGGTCTTCTCGGTCTCCTACATTCTTAAGACATCTTGTATCTCTTTATTACTTATTCCTCTGATTATCAGAAGAGGTTTTAACCTCATGAGTCCCGAGGATTTTCTCAGCTTTTATTATCAGGCGTCATAACTTTCCGTATATTAAATGATGAAAAGCTAAATACCGGTTGCGTTGGATGAATTTTCTACAAGCGATTGTTTACACAAACCAGCTTCAGGATAAGAAGTGTAAAAGCATATCAGAGTGAAGCGGAGAGTAGGGTCAACTCCATTTTATGAAGCATGACTATATATAATCAGACAAAAATATGCTAGACATTTGATAAATGAAGTAAGCAAGACACAAATACCAGGCTCAAATAAAATTGAACAAGGTGATAAGCGAATAGTTAAAAAGATCTAAAGACATGTAAATAATAACTCCAGATAGATAGATAAATTAGTTTGTCCATAATCCAGAAGAGCCACGAAAGCTAGACGTTGCGTTCAATATCCAATAACTCCGATGAGTTATTTACTTTCTGTAAAGGCGATCAACTGCCTCTCATAAATGAAGGACACTCAAACTAGAACTTCGAAGTCCATCACAGGATGTATCTCTAACTGACTTTTTATTTTATAGTTAGTGTATGACTGTATAATTATCTTTCTATCTTCTCCTTGTTACTAGTTCCCGTTGGACCTTCAAACTACTGTTATAAATGATATAACTCCGTAATTAATCCTAATTAATCGCCCCGCTTTTTTTGTCTATTCTCCTGATCTTTTATACTCAACTGGATGGACAATCAAGAACCATTAGCAGTTAGGATTCTTTTCAGTCTCAAACCCAAGGCTAACATTTCTAGTCGTAGCTTAGAATGCTAGGCGATATCCGAACTAGTGAACACAAAGTTGAAATTACAAGGAAGACTTTGATTAACGAATCTCTTCTCTAATCACCACTAAAATTTTATTCAGTAGTAAATCAATCATAATTTTTTAGGGTGTTTCTTCGATCCTATTTTTCGCTCAAAACTTCTTTTCAAATATAATAATCATAGTAATTATAGTACCTATCTATCCTTCATCTATATATAGAAATCAAAAATTTAATAATTACAACTAACCCATACCTGAATTGTTGATCACATTGTCAAAATGATATGATGAGAGAAGGTAAATAAAAAAAGCAAAACAAATTGAATAAAAAAAATCTATTTTTTGTCCACAAGTAGTCTAAATAAACAACCCATTTACACACATTAAATGGATGAAAATAAAAAAAGCAAGTAATTATTCTGCGTACATTTTATTTCGTCCTACCAAAACAGATTGATTTTGTAATAGAATTTTTAATGCTTTATTGATATAACCATCTTCTGATTGGCCAGTCTACTATTTGTATATAAGTGTTTGGTATATACAATAGGGCAGAACTGAAATATGATAGGCTTATTTTGTGTCCTTCTTATATCCTTGGTAGGAGCGTTCCTATTGGCTAAACGCTTTGTATATGAATGATGGTTTTTTAATCATTTCGATCAGCTGACTAGTGCATTAATTTTTTGGGATGTATGCGGTTAGGACTTATTATTATTATCGAACAAAACAGTACACACGTAATTTAGTCGATTTTCTTAATGGGCATAATTAGTAGCGTTAAAGACTAGACAAATATGTCACCGGTTCATACTCAGTGGTCGATTATCATAAATATTTCAGTTATACAAAAGAATATTCACGATATGAATGTCTCTGTGAGTATATCTCTGATTAATAATTCATGCGTTGTGTGTAAATCTTATTGGGAACGTTGGTTTCTTCAAAATTACATAATACGCCATGATGATAAATGTCAACTCACGAAACCTTAGTGTATTTCCATGGAAAAAATCATTATATTTTTCCTAGATAATGTTAGTTCTTCAGTAAATGATAGAAAGAGAAAATAGAACAATACAGGGGCGTGACATCTTTTCCATTTATTTGCCTATCACCTCACTTCTTCCCTTTACATATTTTTTTTCACTTGTTGTCTTTCCCCCTTTTGTTTTACTATACTACCTCTCCAGACTTGTGTAATTCACATTGAATCGTTCAACATGTATACAATGATTTAAAGTAAAATGTAAAGACTTAAAGACACTGGGCTTTTTCAGTATCCTATCCTGTTGGAGTTATGTGACAAGACTTATGGCTTCTTAGACTATTTATCGTACTAGAACATTGTGGTGAATTAAATTTTTATATCCCTCTATTTGTTAGCTTCTGTATTGTGTATAAACTATTGATGTATGTTGTATTCTTTTCACGTTAGAGTTAATCAATTATTCACCAAACTATCGCTCACTTCCTTTTTCACTTATGGTATAGTCGTGCGTACATTATATTATGTTGATTTATGGTCATGAAATCCCTCTGTATTGTATTGTATGAGTTTTAGTCATCATAACTAACTAACCACCCCATGTAAATAGAGATTTTGTCGGGTTGCAATGTTCCCTTACCGAGGTAAATCGAACCGGATTGAATTGGCCATGTTCCCTGATCCAATAAGCGTCTAGATTAACTCGATCATAGCTCAATGTTAATCTTTGTTAACCGAAATGTATCACTGATCCGTGCATAGGATGCTCGTTTATAAAGGCAATAAGTAGTTAGTTATAAACCTTCATTCTGATTACTAAATCCTATCGAGTAATATCTATAAAACCTTAAAATAACTTCTACATAAAGCCGTAGCAGTTGGCATTTTCATAGCACATAGGAAAATTGTTGGTTCATTGGTGAGACATGAATTAGGAATAAGATTTAGAGTTGAAAGTTAAGGTTATGAATTAAATATTGAATTTTCATCATGAACTGAGTGAATTCCGTCCAAAAGAACTGATTGATCAGTCAAAAATTATGATCTCACTGATTCATCAAAAACTCGTGTCCAATAATCAGTAGGGATTGCGTACCATGTTTAATAATATACTATGAACATAAATTTCTAATGAGGCACTACCAGTGCTACATCATCTATAAAAAAACAAACTAGAGTTAAATGTCAAAACTGGAGAATGGTCATTGGTGGAAACCCGACTGGAAGCATTTTTCACACTATTTGCTACCGTACCAATATTGTAGTAATGTAAACCTTTACAAATAAAACAAAATGCAGTTATATATAATAAAAGATTAGGCTATAGTCTTCCTACTAGAAATCTCATTCATCAAATCTACGCTTTGTCAGTTGAATAATAATACAGTGCATTCATTATGTGTGAATAAGTTGAGTTAGTCCTACGTGATATAACCACAATCAGTGGTGTTTGGAGACATGAAGTAATCGGACTCGTAATCAATCGTTTACACTGATGAAAATCTGTTTACTATTTTATCTATCCTTCCTCTTATTCTGGAGTCGTATTATTCTTTCACATAAGTCCTTTGATTCCATCTTGACAAATCATATTCTTAATGTTTAATTTTTCCTATTATCATTGTTACGGTAATTATTTTTAACTTCTTTTTCTGTTGAATCCAATCCATGTGAAATTTTATTCCATCACAGCCTTTTTCAACTAACGTACATATGCATTACGGGGTTCTGAAGATTGTTAGGTTACACATTTTAAAACCATGAATCGATCAATGTCAGACTACGATTAGAAACCAGGACGACCGTTTTGTCCTGGTATGGGACTCATCAGCAGTGCTCATCCACGACTCATGCTTAACAATCTTCACAACCCCATAATGCAAATTACCTGTGCTCACTAGTGACTAGCTCCGTGAGGAATCTTCTCCGAGTTTTAGTGGGAAGTCGTGACCAATGAAGTTCAATCTGTTCGGGTGTAGACAGTAACTACCGAAGACTGTGTATGAGGTTGCGCAACTCCGTGAATTGATCGAAGTTAGACGTTAACACCGTTAGATACCGACTCAGTGGTCTATCGGTTAGGGCGTTCGCGCACAATACCGAAGGTCCTGGGTTCGAATCCTTCAGGGTGCAGGAGTCGTGGATGCGCACTTCTGATGAGTCCTATACTAGGACGAAACGGCTGTCCAGTGCTTCCAGGTTTTTATTGGTGGTCTAACATTGATCGATTCATGGTTTCAAAATGTGTAACGTACATATCTTATGTATGAAACTCTTTTATGTTACTTACAAAGGATGATTTATTGACGAGAAGAATAAGAAAAATCTTCTTCATACTAACTTATTTGTGTGTTCCTTTTCTTTTTCCTGCTGTATAGACATGTTTCTTTACGTCGTGTTCATCTATTCACAATTATACAAGTTGCTTGTTTAGTTATGTTATGGGTTATCAAGTCCATTGAGGTATTGGCCATTCTGTTTCCTATTATGGTAAGTGTTTCTATTGTTTCTTCTTCTTTCCATTTTTCTTTCAATGGCTAAACCTGAACCACCATAACGGCCTTGAGTAACTAATCGACCAATCAGAAAAGTATGATTTTATGGGGCTCTTATCTCGTTGGATCATTTATTGCAATCAGGTATTTTGAGCAAGGCTAAAATCAAGTATTAGGTAGTAAAGTTTTTTGTTATGAATTAGGTTTAAGGATGATAAACTTATTGATTTAAAGTTAAAATTAGGACTAGAGATATGTAGTCAAAGTGGGAGCTTAAAACACCAACAATCATCTGATTTTTTCACCAATCGGAAAGCGGCTTTTATCAATCAATAGTTTATGGAAAAGAGAAAAATCTTACAGTGTAGACAGATATCCCATAAGTGGACAAGTCGATTAATGTCTTACTTTGCCTGTGAATCAAAAGAAAAATTCAACGACATATAAACTCGTTCATATTCTCAAACTCTTAAAAAGAATCCAAATCGATTTTAGCGGATCCTTATATAACTTCCACAGTCTAGATAAATAGGATTAAAGGTTTCGGGTTTAAGGGTTTAATCACATATGGATATCAGCTATTCGTGTAAAAATGCTTTGTAGATAAGTGGTTGAATGAATTTCATTGTAATTAGTTCGTTCATATAGTTTAATACTACCAGTTTAGTGACCTGTAGTTTGATTCCAGTTGGGATGAATGATCGCATATGCAATGAAATAAATCTTCCTTTCCATTTCTGTTTTTCACACTTGGACAAATCCTGTTATTCAGTGTTAGGATTTAACGAAAGTATCCATCTACAGAGACAGAATTTTCTCCAATGGCAGTTATACAAAAGTATTTCAACTGATCATTTATATGTGGCGCATTTCAATTTCACCCGAAAGTCACATTCGTGATTCTCATTTGATGTTCGTCTGTAAAGTAAAATCATCATGCTAGACCATCTTTAATTTTGTCTAGTTTCGGTTATTTGGTGGTGAATAATGTATATTTGAATTTCTAGAGAATTTCTATTTCCGTTAACATTTTAGTTGTATATATTGTTGACTTCCGTCCTGACTAACATCTAACGTATCAGTCAGCCAGATTATTATGTAACCCCCAACTGTATCCTTAATAATAATGGTTATAATGATGATAATTTATGGTCATATTATAACTTGGTTGATAGAATTCCATCAGCGCATAACTAAGAAACATGTAAATATGACATTCATTTACTATTCATTGATTAACCGATTACAAACCACTTTACAATTAAATCGTTATTTAGTTACCAAATAGTTATCTCATTCCCAGGATTCTTAATTGCTACTTTTAGTTTTATCATCCTCCAACTAACCATCTTCATGATGTAGTCAGGACTGAACGAACAAATATCCTAACAAGTACCAGTAGTTCATCACAATAAGAAAGCTCTATCATTACATCAGCGTAATAGCTACGATCAGCTTATTGTGCTCATTGGTTGAAAGCTAAACAAATCAACTAGCAATTAGTCTGAACATCTTCATGAATATTGAACAGATCAGTAGTCTATTAGTCCTTTATGATTCAACTTAAGTTTCAGAAATCAATGGCCAATCGAGTTATGTATCTTATATATGTTATGTCTGCTAGTCAAACGTCCTAAAGTTGAATTCAAACAGTAAAGAAATAAAGTGAAGTAAGACTTCAAGATTATTTTTTTACAGAAAAAGAAAGCCTAGTTCTCAGTTAATTAATGATCTTAGAGATGCTTCTGAAAGTACACGAGATTTAGTCACAAAATAAGTAGCTGTTCAATGAACCTGCGATACATTACCCTTCATTTTTTTACGCGTTTCTTAAAATTCTCTATTTATACGAAATAATTTTTTTTAAATTTTGTAAGTTTTTATAACTCTAATGGAGGAATAATTATAAGTGAAGAGGTTTCTAACAGTCTAAATAAGGTAAGTATAACAAATCAGTAGATGAAATAGTGAATCTTCACCAGTTGCGGTGGTTGGGACATGTGTTGCGTATGCCTAACCACCGACTACATCGATGAGCGATGTTTTGTGTTGCAGAGGTAGGCTAGAAGATAGCTAGGGGTTGCCAGATCAGAACATGACACAAGTCTATGAAGTCACTGAAAGTTGGACTGAACCATGTTTGTAGATATAGACTACCTGGTTTGGATCCGTGAGACGGTAGTAACCGATGGTTAGATAGAGACTTTGAATGACATGCCTCTAAGCCATTTGCAATGGCTCAGACGCATCCATTCTTTGTCTTCTCAAATTCTAATCTTCTGAATTCCTCATGACCATTTCTTTTTTGAAATTTATTCCCCCGAGATATATTTCTCTAATCAAATCGTCGATCCTAAATCTTTCCGTGGCACTTATACTTTTACTACCTCTACCACTATGGGGCTCAAACTAACAATGCCATCTGTGTGCTAACTCGAACTGATATACGTACGTACGTACCTACCAAGTTTTTACATTGTAGCTGACTGATTAACTGAAATTATTTGAAGTTCTATAAAAAAACTGATATTGTTTATTTGTTTCATTTTATTATTTATTTGAATAAATAGGTCTTAGCTATGTGTTTCATACGTAAAGGATTAGATTTTATATTTACACAAGAAGAATTAAAATGGTTAGATCAAGTTTTACCAAATACTAAACGTAAACCATTTCCACATTCATTAATTACTACTGTACCAAGTAGTAATGATTTTAATAAGGTTAGTGTTGTTATTTAATTGTGATTTTTGATGTATTCTTGTTTTTTATGTGTGTATATGTCTGTCTATATATTGACATGATTTGATGATCATTATTACTATCATATTAGTTCGTAGAAATATGATCATATATATATATATATACCATAAATCGTAATTGATTTAAATATACTATCAAAAATGTTTCCTTTTTAATATGGTCAAGGTGTATACCGTTTTGTTGTTGTTGTTGGCCTAAATGTGTAAGAAATACTGTGGAATACTCAGGAAGTAATGAATGATGGTATGTTAGTGTTATGAGGTGGTTGGCTTCAGCCTACTTGTGTTGTAGGCAAGATGTATCTGCTTGCCATTCAAAGGACCAGTTCGGTTTATATAGACAGGTGAAACTACCCCCCAAGAATATAGAATATCCTTAAGTGACAAGTATTTGATCTTAAGTATCTTCGAAGCATTGTATGAAACAACTGAATGAGAAATGTTGAGGTTTAGGCATACACTACTGAGCAACATGATAAGTCGGTTAGTGAATCGATAAATGCGAAATTGGTTTGAAAATCGTAAGTTTACCTAACTGCCATTTTTTGGATGAGTGACATTTACTGGTGCAGAAATAGGTTGGAAGTAAGCCAGCAACATTCTAACCAAGACATGACATTAATCCATGAAGTCGGTGACTGTTTAACTTAGTCGTTTGGGTAGATAATAGACTAATTGTGGACTTTTTCGCTACTTTTGACGGTATAACTGTATACATTTAATAAATAGTGACTGGTCTGAATATATCGTCATAAATATTTGCTCAATATCGTCTAAATGTACACCATTTCCTTTTTGATTTAAATCTATGTATGAAAATGTAACATGATGTGCAAAACAAATTATTGTTTTCGTTGAAACTGTTGGGGTCGTTAGATCCCCAGATCTTGCTTGATAAATGCCTTGATTTCGGATTTCGCGTTTGCGAGCATGGGCTGATCAGTTGACCTTGGGTTTCATTTCCCATCAGGAAAATCCTTTGCTGTGATTGGCTGCTGTGTATTTTACTGTGCTATTTTTGTGACTGTCCCAAGGACGTTTCTATGATGTATAAATAAACGAGATTTGTGCGCTTGAATGTATCATGCTTGCTGGGCGTTTGTAGAATATACTTTCTACTCTATATCAAGACTTCTCTTTAGCCATTTCGAGTCAATGGATCAAGGTAGCCTACCTGTACGCTGGTTCATTGTCTGGTTCTAGTTTATCGACTAAGGTGAACCCATAGTAGTTTCAAGCGTACTTAGTGACGAACCTAACAGTAACCCACGTTCTAGCTTCTATCTAATGTAATGATAACGTGATTACTACAGTTCATTGTTAATTTTAAAGGTAATCAGCACTTTATATTCATCCGAAAACAACAAGAATCGATTATACCACTTTTCTTTAGGAGTACAAAGCGGAGAGACATAAGATAAAAAACGGTTCTCTCTATTGCTGAAACAAGATATGAATAGTAGCGTTAAATCACAATTCTGTTGTAGTTGTAGTTGAATACAATGGTGAAACGACCAACTTATTAACGTTTTCTAATCAGTGTAATGTTCAACCTACTTATTCAATATAGGAAAACCAATCAGAAGTAGCCAAACTCGTAGTTCACTTGACTATAACCATTGGTCGGGAAATGGATTCATTTTCTAAGAAGCGATATATATATATATATATATATATATATATATATATATATATATATATATATTACTCGTCCGAAACTTCAGTTTGAGAGCGGGACACCGCCCATCATTACACTATCCTTATATATGATACACAATAAAATATGACTATTGATACTGCCCTTATTAGTCTGACCAAACATTTACTAAAATGTGATCAAGTTAACAGCTATTTATTCATAAATAATCTTCTCCACAATTTCTACCCTAATTTATAATAGATAATTAGAAGAAAGAGTATGAATTAAATTGCCCACCTGTATCATTTTACTGAAATACAATACTGTACTGTCATCCAACAGTGTTAATGTCTAACTTTGATAAATCCATGATGGTCTTGCACAACCTCATCTATTATCTTCGATGGTCACTGCTTCACATTCAACAAGGTCGACCCCCATACTAGGACAAAACCGCCGTCTACGATGATTCCAAGTTTCTAATGGTTGTCTACCAATTGATCAATTTATAATTTCAATCAATCTATGAGAGGAATATAATCAATCTACTTATTGACCTCATCTCTACAAAAACCTCTTCATTTTTATATTTAACTCTTCATATTTAAGATTCATGATTGGCCGTAAAATACTTGAAGATTTTTAAGAACAATTAATTAAGCTACTCCAATGTATATATGATATAAGATTTTCTAAGTGTTTCGAATAAAAAGCTTTCAGTGATGTCGAAGTCAGCTGTAGCTAAAAACAGTCATTTGTAAACCCCAATTATCTAATAATTTGTTTATTAATTGTTGTTACTGATTTTCTTTACTCCATTTTATTTTTCTCATTGATTTTTATTCACTTAACTTATTATTGAACCATTTATAATTTAATTCGATTTGATATAGAATGCAAAATTCTCAAGTAGTGCAAATCTTTTACAAGACAAGAAAATATCTCAATCAGAAGAAAAGGTAGTTAGTTATTTTTTGTTTCTTTTCCTCGCTCTCTCTCTCTCTATCTCTCTCTCCCAAATAAAACGAAAAAATTGTTTTACTTCGTTTATTTCTACAAGTGTGATAATGATTAACTAACTGTTTACTAGTGATTTATTTCATAACTCTTTATTAAATGCATATATCACAGAGTGAATAAACAGCACAGATAGACAAATATAGATACATTTCGATATAGTACCTTAATCGTTTAAAGGTTAATCGTTTATTATATACGATACTGAAGGTCTTGAGTTCAGTTTTCGGTGCTTTAGTCGTGGACGCGTATTGCTGACAAGTCCTGTACTAGGACGAAAAGTTTATTCATTTATTCTAGATTTCGAGTTATTTTCTTCTAGCTTAGGATAGATAGTTCATATTCTCAACATTCGACAAGCCCCACAACCTCATGCTGATAATTAAAATATAAATAGATAGACACATATTAGAAATACTGACATATAATGGATAGACAGATGTATAAGTATATAAACAGGTACGATATAAAAATTGAACAATTGATCAACTGAATAGATATAATTAAAAAAGAAATGACCTGCAATAAATAACAAATAGATTATTTATGGAACAACATAAAAGATGAATAGATAATAAATCATCTGTGTTGAATACAACCTATAAATTGAACTAACCTTCCAACATTTGTGACTTACTTCAAGTTGTTCCTGAAGCTCTAATGGTGAGAGTTTGTCAATTAGTTAAGTACAGGCGTGTCGAAATTGCAAGAATTGTCACTAATGGCATTGAATCGTTATCACAACGTATCGCACAAATCTCACCCTTAGAATCCAGCTTTGAAGTTCTAATGCTTAGGTGTCTATCACGAGACCTGAAGCAGCTGAGTTCTGTCCCCGATATCTTTGTTCATGCATACTGATGGTAGATTTCATACAAAGACGAAATACCTACCCAAGGTTGCCTAATTTTCAATGGAACCCCAAATGACCTTATTCTGTGACGAATACAATCTACAAACTGATGAAAACCATTTTTAGTGGCTACGTCTAATTTAAATTAGGATTCACCACTTTAGTGACTCGCGATCTGACCCCAGTTTACGAAAACGGTCAAGTATGCTATAAAATAAATCTTCCCTTCAATTTCCATAAATTTATACTTAGGCGAACCCCGTTTGTGCTCGACGGCATTAGTAAGAAGTCAAATAAGGTCACGCCAATTGTGTAGTTTCACAAGAGATATTTCTATTAATTGTAAATGAAACAACAGAAAACTGAACCTACTACTATGGTGATTCATAGGACTTGATCAGCAGAAAATTACGAATCAGTTAAATAGTACACTTGATAAAATATTTCGATCGCTGTTTCGGCCTTAAAAAAAACCAATTGCATGAAATAACACAGTGGTGACAACTACTACCACTCTAATAAGTATAATTATATTTTCAATTAGAGTTATGGAGATTAGTGTTTTTACACATTTGAAATCATCAATCAATCAAAAATTGTTAGACCACCATTAGAAACATGGAGGCACTGGACGGCCGTCTCGTCCTGGTATGAGACTCATCATTGGCAGTGCTCATCCACAACTCCTGCACCTCGCAGGATTCGAACCCGGGACCTTCAGCATTGTGCGTGAATGCCTAACAGCTGGACCACTGAGCCAGTGGCATCCAACGGTGTTAATGTCTAACTCTGATTGATCCAGGAACCTACTACTATGTTGATTCATAGGACTTGATCAGGAGAACATTACGAATCAGTTAGATAGTACACTTGATGAAATATTTCGATTATTGTTTTGGCCTTGAAAAAAACCAATTGCAGTGGTGACTACTACTACCACCACTTCTTTATTTAGTATAATTATATTTATTCAATTTTCTAATTAGCTTATTTTTTTGTTTATCTTTCGAATTTCTCTTTCAGCGTATCAATATCACAGAAGAAATGTCAAAAACATCAATTTGGCGCCAATTAAGTGGTGCAGATATCAATAATGAAAATAAGAAAACATCGTAAGTTTTTCTACTGATTAAGAGGATTAAATTTTTATAAATTATAATTTAATATTTATATATTTTTTACTTTATATATGTAAAAGGTTAAATATATTAAATGTTTGTTAAATTAAATTTGCCTTACTTTTCTCTATCACGCTCTCAGTCTCTCTTTTCGATGTCTGTCAGATATAATCCATGTAAGGCGGCGGTTTGACAATGTTAATTAGTCTATTCAAAACTTGAACATCTTATGTTTATCGATTCTCAAACTGTCACATTATATTATATTATATATCACGTAACAAAAAGAAATTATTCACATATAAATGTCACAGTAACAACGAATACTGACAAAATATGAATGAAAAGTAGATTAAATTACACATTGACAATACTGATTCGAAAAAAAAAGATAAAAATAATTATGAAGATAAAAAGTTTTTTAACAAAAAAATAATTTTGAAAATTCAAAATCATTATTGTGACTGATTCTGAACCATGTCAATCATTGATTTTAGTTAACTTTCCGGTAACTGAAGAAACAAGATAATGTGCACCCTATCTATCTACACACTTCCTAGATTAATGTCATATGTTTGTTTGATAACTTTTAACTTTCTTCAAAACTAATCATGATGAAATTTTATAATATACTCTGCAGGACCTTTAAGTGATGCTGAAGTGAACTTGAGAGTAGTTATCTACTTACTAGAACGTAAAGAATGTAAATTGGAGGCTTTACTCATAAATCGACATGAGCTATAGTGCCAAAATGTTATTCAGTCAGTCAGTCAGTCAGATGCAACGTAGAACTTCGTACGTGAGTACATCAGTTCATGTCGCCATACCACACATTAGCACACAGATGTAATTGTCAATTCAAATCCAATAGTAGAAGAGGTAGTAAGGGTATTAGAAGTAATTGGAGAGGCTGGGATTAGAAGATATTATTCAAGAAGTATGATTCAGTGAGAAAAGTTTACAAAACCAAAACTAGAGGTGTTGAAGAATCCCGAAGATTTGGGTTTGAGAGAACACAAAGAATAAATGCACCGGTGCCATTACAAACGATTTTCAGCCATGTCATTCAGCGTCTCTAACCATCGATTATTATCATCTCGCGGACCCCAACCAGGTAGTCGACAATTACCGACATGGCTAAGTCCACTCGTCAATGACTTCATGGATTTCTGCCATGTTTTGGTTTGGCCGCCCCTAACTTTCTTCCAACCTATTCCTACACTACAAAACAAAGCTCGACGAGGCAGTCGGTGGTTAGGCATACGCAACACGTGTCCCAACCACCTCAACTGATGAAGTTTCAGCACTTCATCTATTGATCTGCCATTCTTACCTAGCACCGGTTTCCTAAAAACAACGTTGCTCACTCGGGTGTCCCAGGATATACGAGCAATGTTTCGAAGACACCTATGATCGAAAACCAGTAACCTACGAATATCTTCTACTCTGACTGGCCATGTTTCACAGCCATAAAGTAAGACGGAGCAAACTACTGCGCAGCACACTCGTCCTTAATCAGCAAACGGATATCTCGCCTTCGCCATAAGTGACGCAGGTTGGCAAAAGCCAATCGAGCCTTCTGTTTCCGAGATGAGATTTTGTCAGTCACCAGGCCATCGGCACTGATGAGACTCCCAAGATAAGTGAAGTGATCAACACGCTCGACTTCTCCACTCCCTATCACTAGTTCAGGTGCCGATGCAACCCAGTCTTGAAGCAACATTTTGCATTTCGACGGGGGAAAACCGCATCCCGAACATGCTTGCATTGTTGCTTAGGGTAGTCATAAGACGCTGCATTTTGTCAGCGTCTTCACCAAGTAGAACTATGTCATCGGCATATTCTATATGGATGAATAAATTTCACGCTAAAATCCGAATCTTGCTGTTTCAAATATTTTTAACTCGTCTTTAAATTATAATCTCGCCTTAACCTTATACCAGTAAATATTACACGCTTAAAAACGTGTTACATCATCATTAGAAACCCGGAAGCACTTCACAGCCGTTTCGTCCTAGTATGTAATTGATCAACGCAGGAATGGGACCCATGATCTCGTGCGAGACCAAAGGTTCTAGGCTCGACTCCCGGGTTCGGATGTCAAGGATGCTCACCTTTGATGAGCCCCATTCTTCGTGTTCTGTCAAATGCTAATCTTTTGAATTCCGTACGGCCATTCTTCCTCTTTTTCAGTTTATTTCACTGGGATACATTTCATATTTCATTTATTCATTTCATAAAGTATATCGATATTTATTGAGAGATCAATCTACTGTGCTTATTTCCGGTAGTACTTCATCTTACTACATTTTTTTTCCTTCTTATTATGTTGTTGTAGATATTTAGGCCAAGTGTTATTACACTCACTATCTATAGTTCATGTTATGTAGTGTGTGTTTGTCTTATCAATAAGTAAACAAATACATTTCATATTTATTTCCTATAATTCTCTTTCTCTCTCTCTCTCTATCTACACTTGCTACTTTCTTTTAAAGTTGTTAGTAGTATGTAAATGTACATAAATATTTTTATTGTTGATTCAATCTCGTGTTAAATATTTGTTTGATTATTTTCGCTCTCTCGTTTTTTTCATATGTGATATCTTTATTTATTATTAATATTACTGTTATTCTTTAAGTTTTTTTCTCTCTCTCTAATACGCATCAATACTTCATCAACTCATTCGTATCACTGGCATATTATATTAATGTCCAGTATTTAGTGAACTGAAGCAACAAGTTGTTTTTTCCTCTTCATTAACAGCATTGTTAGCATACTGTTCAAAACAGATCTATGTTGCTTACATTCTATGCATTTGTAATTAAATCTGCGTTTGTAAGTATATGTGTGAGTGTGTGTGTGTGTAAGTGAGTCTGTCTACTCTTCAATGCACTCACTCATTGTTGATTATTATAGTAAATTTCTTTTTTTTTTTCGTTTGTTCAGTATTGTTTTCCTTATTCGGTTCTATTAAATCTTCTACTCATTTTTTATTCATAGATTCATGATAGATTGTGTTTTGTGTTACATCTTTTTTTTCGAAAGAAAAAAATCTATTCTCTGCGCATATATGCGGGGAGATTCGTTTCATTTGTAAGTTGTATTTTCTCGAAAACGATTCATCTTAGTTGAAGTATCATTGAAAGTCAGGCAGCGCTGGATGGTTGTTTTATCCTGATTTGTAACTACCGAGAAGTATGTATTCATAATCCTCAATGAAAGTTGTGCCTAGAACCTTCAAATCTTAGTTAATCAGTATCACTTTGTCTGGGGGTTCTAACAATACAATTTCAACATCTATCAGTTTGTGATACAGCGCGACTACCTATTCAATTCCATCGACGTCATAGTTGAATGTTAGTAATCAGGACTCAATGTTCTGAGTTTGATTCCAGATCAGGTCATAAATGTCTGTCGCTGAAGAATTCTTACACTGACAAAGTAATTGTTCAGCAAATCCTAATTTTTAATCATACCTCAAACAGGATCAATCTATGTTACAACTCCTTGTCACAAGTAAAAAAATAATTCATGAAGTCAATAACTGTTAGGCTTGAGTCATACATGTAGATGCGCAAACTATTACTTGGCCGGCGTATGTGCAAGACCGAAGATACTTGGTCTCATAACTGCGATTAGCGATAATCGTGGATGCGCACTGCTGATGACTTTCGTACTAGGGAAAAAAACGGCCGTACAGTGGCTCCCAGGGTTCTACATTTCTACATTTACGATTTCATGCTTATTATCAAACTACCATGTTTCCATTCTTGTTGTCCACCATGTTCTTATTTCATTTCACTTATTATTTTTATATATTTTAGTTATAAATCAAAAGATACAAAATCTGATAACAGTAATTCATCAAAAATACGACATCGTAAAGCAAAACACCTTCCATCCACATCACCTAGTGATAATGATAAAACTATTGGAACTGAAACTACTCACTTGTCTAATAGTTCTACAACAACAACTACTACTGCTACTGCTACTACTTCTCCTGGTACTAGTCATAATAATAATACTAACGGTACCAATGATCAACCAATTGTGTTTTGTATTGATCCTAAAGATACAAAAACACATTATACAAAAGTACCAAATATCACAAACACTACTACTACTACTCCTACTCATAGTAATATCAAGAAAGATGGACACGCTGATAATATACCATTATTGGATACACCAAAAATTATGATCAATCCACCATCGAATCAAGGATCACCAGAAACACTACATAAACGTCCAAGACAACCAGGACAACCACACCAACAACCACACCAGCAACAACCGCAACATCAACAACATGTAAAACGCATTTAATGTGTGAACTTTTCATTCTTGTGAAATGAAAAATAATCAATAAAACAAAGAAACGAGTATATAACATTGAATTGAATGAATTAACTAACAACAACTACTAAACTAACAAAAACTGATCAACTTTTAATTTCATTCTATTTTTTGTTCACCCTTTTTTTTAAAAAATTACAAATAGAAATACAAAAAACAGAAAAGCAAAATGATAGTTATTTCTACACAATTTATAGAAATTCATACTATACTATAACAGAGTACACAGATTATTTTAATCGATCTTTGCCCGTCCCATTTCCTTGTCTTCAAAATCTATATATTCCGCTCATTATATATATATATATATATATATAAAAAGAAATTGTACTTGATGATGAAACAGTTTGTAGTCAATAATATATATATATATATATCTTGTAAACAACAGACAACAAGAATTAGCCCCTCTTTCCTGCCATGTGATGATTTGTTCAATCATTCTTTTTAATAAATATTGAATTAATAATTAAAAAATAGATTTTAGAAATAATCTGAAACATTTTTTTTTTAACTAATTATCGAATATTGTTTATTTTCTTCTTTTTTTTTTCTACAAAAATTGCAATCAAATGAAATTGTTTCCTGTGCGTGTGCGTGTGCGTGTGCGTGTGTGAGTACAACAACATACCTACAGACATACATACAAATTCAGTTTTGTGTTGAAAATCCGATCATTTTGATGACCTCTTTACTATACATACTCGTTTTTATTTTCTTCTTCTTACTATTTATTGTGTATTACGAGTTACAATGTCATAAAATCTTTGAAGAAGCTGCCACTCCATGGACACAGCTGCTCCTTTTGTAACATCAACCTCAAGCCCTGTAGATCTTGATCTTTATTAGTATTACTGTTATTATATCGGTTACATTGTAATTTTTAATTTGCACAACAATTTCGTATTGGTCATTATCATTCAATTAGTGCATACACAACACATGTTCTCATCGTTATTACAAAATCGTTAGAAACATTTACTCATCATACTATTTTTAACCTTCCTCTTTCTCTCTCTCTCTCTCTTTCTCTACCTCTCTTTGCTCCTTTCTGCCACCCTTTTTATTTTCTCTAAATAAATAATTTAACGCATTTCTACGAAAATTCCATAATCAACATCACTGGTTGTTAATTCCCTCCCCCCCCCAAAAAAAAGTTATGCGGAATCTTTTCTCTATGGTTGTAGTTTCTTGTTGATTGCCATTGGACAATTCCTCTCCGTTATCATCAATCAATACACATACAATTCAATAATAATAGAATGTCATTTCTAGTCAATGAGAATGTTACATTTTTATAATACTATTATTAGTAGTTGTAGTGGTTAGTAATAGTTTTTTTATATTACACTGAATCAGCTGATCCATTTTCAGGTATATCATTCTATGCCCATAGATTGTTAATTGTATTTTATTGTTGTTACATTACTCTTTAAAAAAAGAAGAGACAGTGGTTCACAAAAATTCCATTCGTTTTAAAATTTTCCCAATATGTACGTACACATACTTCAATGTACTCTGTCTATTCATTTAAACCAAATAACCAAAAAAGCACTTGTGTGTACAACGAATTGTAAGAAATTGGAAAAGATGAAAATTACACAAATAATAAAAATGAATTTTTTTTAAAAAAAAGAAAAACTAACAAACAAATCAATCGGTATGTAATATGATTAACGATACTACTGATTCTTTGTAGTAATTGTAGTCATTGTAGTAATAAATATCATTATTGTTCATATCCTTACTGATTATACTAAATGTGAAACTGATATCATCACAATCCGTCACCGTATCATAAATTCATTGTGTATATCTGTGCACACATACATACACGCACACACACACTCGAAAACACATACCATTTAATATCTCAATATCTTCTATTCATCTTTCTTTAATCTCCTACTGTTGTTTTGATGATGGCAGCGATGACAAAGACAATGATGATGATGATGATGATGTTTGCAGTGGTTACTTTTTTTTTTCAATTTGTTCTTCTGTTCATTACCTTTTTTGTAGCGCCATATAATGATAGTAAAGTGGATAAGGAAGAGATAATAATAAAAGTGGATGTGATGTGTTTGTAAGATGGGGGATCGATAAGAAGCAGACAATAATATCGATAGATATGAATGCCGCGTAAAAAAAACCACTTGCCTATCATTTATTATTATTATTATTATGATTGTTATTAGTTTGTACACATAACCAACAACTTCTAATACATTGGATACCAGTGCAAACGATAATATCAGTGATTTTAGTAGCCATAGTAGAAGTAGTAGTAGTAGTAGTAATAGTATTTATTTATTATCAATGATTGTTATCATAGTCATAATAATCTTACCATTTTTTTTTCTTAGATTTATTTGTAAAAGCTTATTTTTACATTATAGGAAAAAGAAAGCTTATCATCATTTAATGCCTTCTTCTTCTTCTTCTTTTCAATCTCTCCTCTCTTCACAATCTTATCTGAACGATTCCACCATTGAATAGTTTTTGCATGTTGAATTTCTTTGTTTCATTGAAATATGTGTCAGAAGTTAAAAGAAAATGCTAATTTGGCTGGAAAATAATATGGTATCGACGACGTCTACTCAAACGCTCATACGTACACACACACACACACACACAGAAAATCTCCCAACTTTCTCTGCTCTCAATTCATCTACTTTATGCCAACCAATAAATAATAAATGAAAATTGTTAATCCTTTTTTTGTAAAACAAACTGTTTGTTTTTTTCTCTGATTACAATTCATTGTTGTCCTATTTGTCTTGTATCTCTATGCCTACTCTACTTACACACACACACACAACATGTACGATTAGATAGATGCATTCATTATTCAAGTTTTTTACATTAGAGCATTTAGTTAAGAAATCATAAACTAATCCCTCTTCTTCTTCTCGTGTTTCATCAGTTCTTTTCAAGAGTTTTTTTGTTATTCAATCTCATAAAATTGTTGATTACAGATAAATATTACAACAGTAGATTATCTGATTTTTAATTAGTGTGTTTGTTTCGTCTTCCTGTCGTTGCACGTTTTCTCACTCTCGCTCACTCTCACTCCCAAAAGTTTATACTTTTCTCGGGTGCCTAATTCCTCTTTCTGCCTCTCTCACACATACACATACACATACACACACATATATATGCACAGTGCCATTCGTTTGTTAAATTCCTTTTTATATATCATTTAGAATCCTTCTTATTATAACTATTTATTAAATTGGTCATGATAATAATAATAATAGTAATAATAACACATGGAAAATTTTCCTTTGATTCTGAAAAAAAACAAAACAATACAACAAATAAATTGAAATTGGCATCTTTTTACTATGGTTGATTTTACTTCTAACTATAGAAGTGCTTACCTTTATTATTACTATTGTAATCATCGTATTATAGTTCACCTTCCTGATTTTGACTGTTATTTTTGGTTTATGCCACTGATTGATTCACTCACGTATCATTTTTCATACCACACCTGATTAACCCTACGAACTGTTTCTCATATTTCTCTTTCTTTCTCTCTCTCTCACACACTGACTGTCTATCTCTTGTCAATTCAGTATATATATATAGAGACCAGTATAGACTTGTTGATTGTTTGTTTGTTTTTTCTCTCTCGATTTCATTGTTTTTATTTCAAATTTAGTAAATTATATATACACAATATTAGAATTTTACCAAAATCATCATCATGTTATTCACCACAATGTTCATTCAATTGATAAGTGATAAAAAAAGTATTACTATTATTAGTGTTATTATTACTAACACGATTTACTCAAAATATTATTATTGTTATTGTTATTATTGTTACTTTTACTATTGTTTCTATTGTTACAATAAACACAATCATTCATTCATCATGAACACACGTACAATTCATTCTCAACATCAATAAAAATTCTACGTAGTATACATACTGTTATTAAACTGATACAAATAATAATAATAATAATAATAATAATAATAATAATAATAATTCCATACAGTGTTTTTTTTCCTACTATTTATTGCTGATGATGTAGTCAATGGTCTGTATGTGCGTCTGTTGTTTGTCTGTCTGTCTATCTATCTATCCATCCAAATGTAATGAAATCAATAATGGTTCATTAAGCAGTTAAGTAAATTACATCCACATTAGTAATATTAACCTTTTCTAAGCTCCAGTAACATAGGCACTCTTCATTTTGAGGCTGAAAATTCTAGGTCCTTTCCTAAAGCGAAATCATGAGTGTGTGAGATGTTCGGAAGTAGTCAGCCGAAAACCCAACTCGACCTAAGTTCATGATGTTTTAGCACTCGTGCATGTAATCTTGGGGAGACATATACTCTCTAGTGAGTTTGACCTCCTGTCACACATATTTTGACAGTTAGATACGTTACCACTGAGTCATTCAAGTTGCGATTGATATGTCGGTAGATAACTAAAGGTTTTTCAACCGGGATACAATCAGTACTAAAGAAGGACCTAACATATATGATATTGCTCACTAGTTGAGTCTTTACAACGATGGACATGTTTAACACTTGGATCAACGCAGATATTCAATACTCCTTGATTTTCAATAATTTTTTTTCTTAGAATAATTAAAGTTTTCGAACGAACCAATCATATTTTGGACAGCTTCTCTTACATTTTTACTCGAAATTTATAACACTACTGTGGATATGTGTACTTTCATTGTTGAAGTGAGTCTAGTGATAAAATAAACATCTTTGAATTACAAATCTCCAAATAATTCTTGCTAAAAAAAATCTATCACGATTATTAACATTCATTGCTCCTTTTTTTAACTGTTTTATCAACCAATTAAATAAATGGAACAGATAATGAAAATCCCTTATATGCCGGAAAAAGGTTGAAACCACTTCATCGAGTCAGTATTCAGTAGAAAGTTTTATGAATCTCTTTGTTTGCTTTACCTCTAAAATGAATCATGAAAGAAAAG